CAGGAATGGGGTTACAGCAAATCTTTAAAGGATGGTTAGTGCTTTGATTTGTTTCCAACTGTGTATTTAAATCGCAGAAACGAATGTTACCCTTTACCTTGTCCAGAGCGTGGTGCGGCCCAGGCAGCAGTGTGTGGACCTGTACTGCGCTCTGGTAGATGCTGGCTGGGCTGTCACAGGGGCTGGCTGCTCTGTACCCAGGGGACCTGCATTCTCAGGGCATGCTTGCTCCTCGCCCCACATCAAAGTCCTCATTGCTGGCACAAGCACCACTGTCCTGCCCCAAGCTGCAAAGCCAGGCAACCCCAGACATCCTACCTGCATGGGAAGCGGTTGTCTGGGAGGCCTCAGCCCCACACCTACCACACATTTCCCCCATGTCCTTTGAGAAACAGAGGGATGCATACGCCTGAGAGTGCACATGCCACTATGCACGGCACGTCGCACGGATGAGCAGGACAGTCTTCAAGGCAAGGCAGAAGTTGTACTCTGGTAGGTATAGCGAAAGACTGGGGTTTATTCCAAACACCTTTGGGTAAAAACTGTAAACAACTTGACTGAAGACAGGATCCCAGCAAACGCCTAGGGCACCAGAGCTGCCTGGTTCAGGTTAGAGTTTGTAGATTTGGGATAGGGACACTGGTATCCTACAACCACAACTCTGATCAATGCAGCGTATTTGCTCCTTGTCCCACAAAATGCCCTAATCCCCATCTCGTGCTTTTTTTAGTGAGTCTTGAGATTGTCCTGATTAGTACAGGCAAACAGAATGCTCCAAAATAGGTGCGTGAGGCCGAGCACAAGGCTGGCTGGGGCAGGGACGCAGTGACAGGTTTGGCAGAGGGGGCTGACGTGGCCTGGCAGGAGGTGTGCAAGGGGACGGGGTTAGCTAGGAAGGCACAGACTGCGCCAGCAAGGGTGGAACATCTGCACAGAAAGGCACAGTAGGACTGGAACCGCAGCCCTTAGTAGAGGACGTCCTCAAAGCTGAGCAGCAGGAAACGGTGCAAGGCACTTGGCAGGTGCAGCTGAGACAGGACCAGAAGCAACCGGCCCTCCAGGAAGGTCCTGAGTGTGTAGCGAGCCAGGTGCTGCAAGGAGCGAGGTCTTTGCTCCAGGGAGAAAAGCGACTGGTAGAAATGTGGGTATTTCTACAGAGAGAGAAGAGAGGACCAGAGGCAGATAAAGCTGGAGATGCCACCCTGGGAGCAGAGGTAGAACCAGACACACCTTTACGTTATTCACTATGGTGCATCCTCCCTATCCCCCAACACCACCTCCCCTGTGCCCTGCAAATCTCCACCCAGCCCCAAACCCCCCTCAGCCCCAAGCCTCCCTGGCACCCTGCCATGGTAGCCCGGCTGCATGTTCTCTAGCCAACAGCATTCATTCCCTTACCTGTACAACCTCTACTGGAACGGCTTCCACCCAGTCCTCGGAGACACGCACGTGATCATAGCTGTTCATCAGGGCCTCGATGACTCGCGGGCAGGTATGGCAGTACCGCAGCACCTGCGCCAGGGAGGGAGCAGGTGAACACAGCCTTTGGACAGGGTCCTGCAAGCCCCACCTTCACCTCTAAAAAGCTGCACATGCTCAAAACTAGCGCTGGTGAACCTAGGGAACTCATGTCCTTCCCTCATGCTGCCCCAGGAGATCAAACCCACTGATGGTGGGAAATGCCAGAGCACCATTCCTGCAAAGAGGGTGACTGAGCCAACATCCAACATGCACAGCACAGTTGCATTCAGCACAACCCACAGCCTCTCCTCAGACGCAGGGACTAATGGATATGGCTGGGATGCAGATCTCCTTCATCTGCCTCACTGCTGCAAGTAGCTCACAAGCAACCAACACTCTGCTTTACGCCAGGCACCTTTCCTCACATTTTTCTAGTTAGAGCATGAAGCATTCTGAGGCAAGGACTGACACCCATTTTGTGTGCAGCAAGCCTAAGGCACGCCATGCCTCTGCAGCAGGCTACGCAGTGGTGTCAGGGATGTATTGTGCCTGTTCGGCGTGGGGCTGCAGAGTCATCCTGTATCTGTGCTGTGTGCAACGGGCGTCCTAAGAAGTACGGTGCCCACGTCAGCCGCCACACAGAGCCCCAGGAAGGCATCATACATATTTTGTGCAACACATCTCTGGGGCGTACCATGCCCATGTTTTAACAGCACATGTAGGTGCAAACACCACACTGGTGCTATGTATCTTGCCCCACCGGCGTGGCCTTGGGAGCACACCCCACCCATGCATAGCTGCACAGAGGCAGATCCCCCCCGGCTCTTGGCTCCCACTCCCTATGGCCCAGGCCAGCAGTAGCTGTCAGAGTCTATTCCGGCTGTACGAGTGATTCTCATTATCTGGCGTTAATAGGAGATTAATTAGTGTTAATTGTTGATTTTCCTGTATTTTCCCAAAGGGGAGAGCAATCTGCTGATCTCCGGGCTGGGTAATTATTGCACTGCTCAGGAATTAAGACAGGAAATTAACCCTTTGTTTGCTGGTGTCTTGCAGAGACAGTAGGAGCTGGAGGGTATGCCCCAAAGAGGAAACTCCTCCCCTGAGAGGAGAAGGGCCAACAGTTTCTGGGGCAAGTGATTATGGAGACTGGGTAAGTACTGTCCACACAGTTTAGCAGACAGAAGCAGGCGAGTCCTACAGGAGAACATACCCCAGGAGAAAACTTCAGGGAATTCCTTACCAGGAATCCCAATTCCCCCTCCCCCAGCCCCTGGGAAGAGATAGGCAGGACAGCAAGCAGGCTGGCACAGAACAAGCCCTGCTGTGACAGAAACATCCTTGCTCTCACTGGGGCCCTGATGTTCACAGCCTTCCCTTCCCACCATGCTCGCAGCACAGCTGTGAGCCCCGCACCTTGAGGAGGGAGCCAGGCCAGATGCGGATGGCACCGTAGTTGAGCAGGGCTTGCACCACAAGCTCTGGGTGGTGCTCTAGCTTGTAGGCAGTTGCTTGCAGGATATTGTGCAGTGCCGTGTTGCCGCTGTAGTTCATGACGTTGACGTTTGCACCCCGGGCCAGCAGTAACTCTGCTACTTGAGCATTGGCGTTCTTGCAGGCCAGGTGAAGAGGGTGCTGGCGGTCCCTGTCTGCAGCATTGATGCTAGCACCACTCTCCACCAGCAGCTGGCAGACCCGGTAGTAGCGGTCCATGTCCTGGGGTTGATGGGGCTGAGCACAGGCAGCATTCAGTGGCGTCTGCCCCTCCTCATTCTTTGCCTCCAGCTCTGCCCCAGAGCGCAGAAGCAGCTGGACGTGGTCTACTAGGCCATGCCGTGCTGCTACATGCAGTGCTGTGTCGTCTTCCTCCTCTGTCTGACTGTTCACACTGGCGCCATGCTGCAGCAGCTGCTGGACACACCTATGTGGGCCAAGACGACTCAGTGACAGGCTCTCCTCTCCAGCTCCTATCCTACCTCCAACCCCCCCACCTCCCATGTCTGTACCATCCCAGGGCTTTCACTTTTCCCAAGAGTCCAAAACTCCCTGCTCCTCATGCCCTGGAGTAGTGGTTTTAAGCCAGGCTGACTGCTGAGCACAGATACTGTCATCCTAGTTCTAGCTAACTCTCTACAAGTGGCATCACACCCAGAGTCTGCTCCCACACCCACGGAGGCCTGTCTGCATAGCGCATGCCCTGAGCTTCGCAATGCGGCCCATCGGCTCTGCGCTGCTGGTGGGTAGCAAGACAATGGCACCAAGCTCAGTTGTGTCAGCTGAGGACTGAGCTTGCAGCCATCTGCTGGACTTCAGAGGTGGTCCTGGTCCAGGAACAGGCAGTAAGGCTACCCCATTCAGCAGCTATTGCTGCAACCACCAGCCCACCTGCAGGGGTGAGTAGGGACCCCTTCTACACAGGATGAGGCTCGAGGGGCAGGGAGGCCCCCTATGCCCCCTGGGTAGAACTCACTCGATAGAGTCTGGGCTCTTGCAGAGATGCAGGGGCTTGTAGCCATCCTCAGAGACAGCCTCAGGGTCAGCACCAAAGCCGAGCAGCAGGCGCACGCAGTCTGTCCTGGCTGCCGCACAAGCCTCATGCAGGGCAGTCTTACCCCCTGGTGCAAAGTTGACGGCAGCACCCCGGAGCAGCAGGAGCCGCAGGCAGTCTGTGTAGCCCCGGCTGGCCGTGATGTGCAGCGGCGTGGTGAGCTCCTGCTCGTAGCTCAGAGA